ATCCACCCAGAATGTTACATTATCAACCTGGTAAACAATTTTAAAAATATTACCATATACATTTAGCATAATAAAATTATAATCAAGGTATTTTTACTGGCATATGAAAGCCGTGTTTATCCAATTGATAATACTTTAAGCCAGTGATTGAAATGAGTTCATTGCAGCCGTGCTTCACGAGTGCCAACCGGTCTTCGGGGCAAATGGTGTCAAATCCGTGCAATTTCTTTGAGAATTTTACTATATTTTCAATTATTATTTCATTCAATTTGGTGTAGATTTGTATGAATTCATCGCCGCTTTTAATGTTATACACATTATTAGTGAAACGAGCCTTAAATATATCGGTAGCCGACGTCAGCTCTAATATCCTACTCGTTTCTAATGCATTTAAACCGTTATAGTCTATGAGTTCTCGTTGTATAGAAATTATCGGCAAATTCTGTGATTTATTGTATAGTTTTGTGTAATTTTGTAAACAGTTTTCAATTTCAACGATCTGTTTGTTGAGCGCATCCCTATTCATGTCCATTGGATTGTCTAATAAATCATTTAAAAAGTCGTTTTCATTATCCGATGTAACGATTAATTCAGTATTTAATTCATTATTAGTCGACGAAACGACACAATCACTGATTGCTATCAATTGTTTTTGTTTTAATTTATTTTCTTTAATCATTTGTTTTCTCTCTTTGTTTTCCTCATCATTTCGGATGAATTCCTATTAAATAATTAAATATTTTATAATAGAAGTTATAAATTAATTATAAATTAAATGTACAAGCTTCATTCCAGCGGCCAAACACTTATCTAGTCTACACTTTTTACATGTCAATCGCGTCAATACATTGATATTGCATTTGCCGTTTGAGGGGCAGTGGAGAGGCTTTGAAATACAATTCATACCATGTTTAGTAAAATTATGGTAATTTATCATTAATTAATACCTTATTCTTCTGACAAAATCGGCTAAAAAATGATTTACATGACGAACAGGACATCGCACCATAATATCTAGCTATTTATTTATATTGATTAATGTAATTTAAGTGTTATTTAATAAATAAAATAAATTAAGAATTTTAATACCAAGTGCTTTATCGCCACATATTCTGCATATTTTGTCCACTGATTTATTATTCATTTTGTTTATTATAATTAAATTTATTAATTAAACTTTAAATTAATAACTTATTGCATTTCATTTTATTTACTAAATGTGTAAAATTATAAACACTTTGAAGTTTTACTTATCAGCCGTATATACAGTATAAATGCTGCAATCAATTGAACATGTTTTATACAATTACGACATTTAATTGATGTGACATTGAAATAATTTGAAGGATTTTTTATTGTCAGTAATTCAATATCATTGTATATCTTGTGATGTAAACCAGAATCATTTGAAAATAACATAGTAATTGCCATCTAGATACTTGAAATTAAATATTTATACTTTAATTATAAAATTATTAAATAATTTCAACTACAAAGTATTTATAGCATAGTTATATAATTGATTAAATTTAAATCATAATGTTTTTATAAAAATAACAAA